CCCCCAACAGAAGCCTGCCCCGATACAAAATTCCTGGCTACACCCATGTCCCCCATCTACTGGTAGAAAGGTGGCTCTTTAAATGTTTTATTTGTAAATAGAATGTGGTTTGTTTATAATTTTTATAATTTATACAAAATACAATTGCATAAAATGATAGGAGCATAATGAAATATTGTTGAAGCAGAAAAACATAGAATCTTGGAGCTGGAAAGGACCTCAAGGGTCATCTTTCTAGTGCAATCCCACTGCAGTGTAGGAATCTCAGCTAAAGCATCCATGACAGATGGCCATCCAAATTCTGCTTAGAAACCTCCAAGGAAAGAGAGTCCAGAACCTTCCATGGGAGATCTATCTTCCATGTATTATAAAAAGCAAACAACACTTATTTGACCAGAGTTATTTGACACAGAGGGGAAAACCTACAGATACGGTCCAAAAAGCACACAGGGAGTTCTGTATATATGGGAGAATTTTAAAAAGCAAGTGGTCCTCACTGACCTGGTGCAAAAAGATCTTGTCATCCAGAGGAGCCCTGGCTGCCTAGATAATACACTATAGCCCCACACACCCTTACCTGGGAGCAAGGCCCACTGAACTCAGTACGGCTTTCTTCTGAGTAAGAACTTAGTTTTTATTCATTCATTCATTCATTTTCTTTCTTCTGAATAGACACTTAGTTACATGCTAGATGCAAGTCTGCAGCACCAGACAACCCCGCTTGGCTAGGTGCTGGGGTGGATTTCACCCCACAACTTGCAGAGCTGGGCAAATGCTGCCGACATTTTCTGTGCCCCTCGGCAACATCCGAAGGCCCTGATCCACTAGGCACAGGGGTGTGACATGGTTGTCGTTTCTGTATCCTTCTGCTGTGCTGAAGAAAAATTCCACGAAACAGTGGGTATATCCAGAATCACTGTTCACTACGTCTGTTTGCGGACCACTTCGCCAGCGTTGGACGTCATAAAACAAAGCTTTACGGCTTGTTTTCACCAGATGAGAATCTGACCCATTGCTTCTTTCAGAGACTTGCATAGTCTACAAAGACTTTCAGAGACTTATAAGACTTATGTTTATATGGTTCTATGTTTTCAAGAGAATCCATCAAGAGTGCATATTTTGTGACTTATAAGATTTCTGTTTATTTTGTTTTGCAGAGAGTGCATATTTCATATATTTCATACTGTTCAATGTTCTGTATAGATTATATAAAGAGTTTACTGTATATTGAGATCGCATTGTTGTACTTGGTCATCGTGTTGCCTTGGATATTACTGATGGTTGTGGAGAGGCCAAGGCTAGATGGACACACTGGGCAGAGCCTGGGATTGGCTCAGCTGGTTCACCTGCACAACCTCAACCTTACCCACAGGCTGCCAACTTGAGGCCATTAAAAAGGATTAGCCCAATTCATGGAGGATAAAGCTATCAGTGCCCACTAGCCATGATGGATGGATGTTATCTCCATTTGTGGAGACCTGTGGGCCTCCCATAGACATCTGGTTGGCCATTGTGAGAGCAGGAACCCAAGGACTTCCAAGGAAATTTCACATGCTCAGGAACTAGGAAATTTTTGCTGCCCAATAATCAGGGAGACTGTCAAGCATATTGTAGCCTGCAGCACAGCATCTCCAGGTATGGCTGAGAGAGACACCAGTCTGAAATCCTCCACAGAAGGAGCTTTCTATGTTCCTACTTTTTGGTTTGACACATTACGGATTGAACAGAGCTACCCTAAAATATGTTTATTATTTCCATTTACATCCATTCTACATATAGCACACAAGGTGGCTAACACCAGTGTTAATAACAGTATGGTAATAGTGTATTCTATGCACATGTTTTTGGAAGTAAGTCCCCAAAATGTATTATTTTGGGGGAAACTGCTCTGTGAAAATGTGTGTATTAGGCAAAATTGCGTACAGATAAGTGTATAACAAAAGAAATTCTGATGAGGATTTTTTTTAAAAAAGAAAATAATCAGGAAGTAATGTGGAAATGTGGATAATTGAAGATTGGAAAACCGAGAAACTGAAATTGATAGATTAGCCCGTTCCTACTTAAAACCTTGAACTTCCAGGGCTGTGCAGCCTAGAAAATCTACCACAAAAGTTGCAGCTCACGAGCTCATGAGGGCAGGACCAAAAGCGCAGCTCTACCTGTGCTCCCTTTCTTTCAGTCGTGGACTAAACCATTCTGAACTATGGTTCTGGACCATTGCTGAGTAACAATCCTACAACCAGGAAACAAAACACGCGCCAAGCAAAAACGGTGGGCAAGGTTGTAACACTCCAAAGTCTTCTCGCTGTGTTACTTCAGTCATTACAGGAAGTGCCGCAAGGGAGATGCACAGGTGAGTCGTACATCTGGCTAGCGGTGTTTCCTGTAACACCCAAAAACCACTTCCAGTCTCCTCTACGTCATGATCTTGAGTTCTGACTTGCATTTTGCAGGGCTGGAGACTTAGGCCTTTGAATTCAGCTATGTTACCTTTTTTTTTTTTTTTTTTTGAAGTTGTTTGGAGAAATGCCCAGAGCTCCAGGATAGAAGCTTTCTGATAAATTTAATAAAGGTTTACGCTTGGATGGCTGAAGTTCTTCCCTTACACTTGATAATATACGATCTCAGTTATCAAGGCTTGCAGGTAACAAGGCAAACATACACATTTTTCCTTGACAGGATTTTATTACTTTTCAAGGTTCAACTTGTTTGTTTAAAATATTTCAAAAAAAGCAATAGGCTGGGATGAGTGCATAGAGATTCAAGACCTGAAAAGCTTTGCATGGACCTATCATTAAAATCCAGCGCAGAAAAGCCAAAAACAGGGAAGAGTCATGGCTCATCCATAGAGCATCTGCTTCGCATGCAGAATGTTCCCTGGCTCAATCCCCAACATCTTCAGGTAAGGGTGGGAGTAGGGCCTGCCCAAGACATTTTGACACCTGAGGTGAACAACAAAATGGTGTCCCCCTCCCCGCCTAGGAAGAAGGGAGGCTTGAAGATCTACAGCAGGAACAAGGACGGGAATAAACATCTACATCAGCCTCTGCTGCCCCTGTGGATTCTGCCACCTGAAACGGCCAACTCACCTTGCCTCATGGGTGGGCTGGCCCCGGCTGGGAGGAGACTCTTCCTGGAGACCCACTGTCTATTATTATTATTATTATTATTATTATTATTATTATTATTATATTTTTTAATACCCTGCCCATCTGGCTGGGTTTCCCCAGCCACTCTGGGCAGCTTACAGAAAATGTAAAACATCAAACATTAAAAACTTTCCGATACAGGGCTGGCTTCAGGTGTCTTCTAAAAGTTATGTAGTTCTTAATGTTCATGACATCTGAAGGGAGGGCGTTCTACAAGGTGGGCGCCACTACCAAGAAGGTCTTCTGCCTGGCTCCCTGTAACTTCGCGTCTTGCAGTGAGGGAACTGCCAGAAAACCCTTGGAGGAGGATCTCAGTGTCTGGGCTGGAGGATGGGGGTGGAGATGCTCCTTCAGGTATACTGGGCCTCAATGTAGACAATACTGTGCTAGTTGGACCAACAGCTTGACTCAGTATAAGGCCGTTTCCTATGTTCTGCAGTCAGTGTTGACCAAATGACAGCAATACCAGCTTCTCAGTTCACTGCCCTGAGCCTGGCATGATGGATTATTAGGCTAGAAATCCTACCTGCTAAGCATCCTACCCTAATGCTCTAATTTGGGTAAAGGTTGAACCAGTGAGAAATAGTGGGGTGATATTGAGAACCTTGGGGTAAGCAAAACGAGGCATTAGGTCGAGAACTTAAGGGTGATTCATGAGTCTGTTGGGCCACAGCTTCAGATTTAATCATGCTTACAGACCTAGCATGCCATTGCAAATTCTCAAAAGTGGGCTGAGGGCTGGCATGCAAAGACTTCAGAATATATTGCCTAGGGTTGCATTGGGACAGCTGAGCGCAGAAATGGCTCGGCTCGGGATAATCATCCAACAGAATTACTTTCTCCAACTTGGTGTCCTCCAACTTGAACAACTACTCCCTATCATTTCTGACCATTGGCCAGGCTGTCTGGAGCTGATGGGGAGGGTAGTCCAAAACATATGGAGGGCACCAAGTTGGGGAAGGCTGCGGGAGAGCCTGGCACACCCTGGGCAGAGCAGTAGCTCTCTGCATGGATGGCCCAAGCCATCTCTCCCTCCTAGATTTGGAGGAAATGCAGACAGGCACTACCACACTTTGTGTTTGGCTTGCTAATTGCCAGGCAATTTGACCCTTTGTTTCAATTGCTCTTCCTAATTTGAAAAAAAAAAATGCCTTCGTTATTAGACACAATTAATGCAAAATGCACTGAGTGGGGGACTGGATGGGGGCGGGTGGATGTGGAAGAAAGCCTCAGGTATGTGTTTTTTTGGCGCAGGCTGAGTCTGAGATTACTTGTGCTTGCCTGGGGCTGAGTTAGCTGTCAAGAAAAACCCTGGAGCACCTGCGGTTTGCAGGCTTTACAGCCAATCACAATCAATAAAAGTGACAAGGCCAAGCTGGGGGAGGTGAATGAAGATATGTGGATACTGTGACCAGCAGAGAACAAAACAGCCCTTGGCCCAGTGCACTGTTGAGTAATCATCCCAAGTTACTTGGGTTAAAATACACCACCGCACCACACAACACACACGCCTTTCAGATATACATAACACATCTATAGGAAACCCTGATCAAAGGGGTGCGAGAGCTTTGTGTAAACTTGTGGTCTGCTTCTTTGTGGCCCATGTGATTGTTTTGGCATCTGTAGCCCTTGGGAATTCCTGTGTCTCCGCAGTGGGACAAAGAAAAAATGCTGGGGAAAAACTTTAGATGATTTAAAAAGAAAATAATAGAAGGTTCAGCACTCGCTGGAGAGACTGATATTCTCTGATAACAAGGATGGTAGCTCACGATGACTTAGAATTGTAGATTTGTAGAGCTGGAAGGGACCACTAGGCTGATTTAGTCGAACCCCCTGCAGTGCAGGAATAATTTGCCCAATGTGGGACTTGAACGAATGACCCTGAAATTCAGAGTCTCATGCTCAACCAACTGAGCTTGTTTGCAAGGTATTTTGAGGATAAAATCACTTGCATCCACCGGGACCTTGACTCCACCATTACAGCAGATGAATCTCAAGGTGCCCAGAGTCTAGTCTGGATGAGTTTTCATTAGCAAGGCTCAAGGATGTGGACAAGGTGCTTGGATCGGTCAGGGCAACCACTTGCACTCTGCACTCTTGCCCTTCTCGGCTGATAAAGACTAGCAGAGAGGGGACAGCTGGTTGGCCCAGAGAGGTGTTCAGTGCTTCCTTGTGAGAAGAGATGCCTAAAGGAGGCAGTAGTAAAACCACTCCTCAAGAAACCTTCCCTGGATTCGGAAAATCCAAGTAATTACCAGCCAGTTGCCAATTTCCCCTTCTTGGGCAAGATTCTGGAGTAGGGTTGCCATATGTCTGGGTTTTCCTGGACATGTCCTCTTTTTTTGCGGGGGAGGGGTCAGTATGTCCATCCAGGCTGATTTTTGCATTTTACACAAAATGTCCGCGTTTCTTTTTGGTTTTTTAAATTTTGGGGGATGGAATGGGGCATGTGCATGCTTGGGCATGCTTGGGTGGGCGCTATGCCCCAGAAGCAGAAGCACTGCAGCGAGGTCTGAAGCCAGGTCTGCAGCCTACATTGGCACTACCACTAGTGCCACCACCATTTGGATGTCTTTACATTTCTGGAGAACTGACCTATCAATGAATCTTAGCCATGATGACTATATGTAAGCCCTGTCTTCAAAGGAGATATGCCACTGAATATGAGCAACTGTGCAAGAGATCAATTGCCTTCATGCCCTTCCAGTCACAATCAATAAAAGTGACAAGGCCAAGCCAAGCCCCCTTCTGTCTGATTCTTACTCATGAATTTATCTTTCCGTGATGATTAACCTCTGGGTGTTCCCTCTGAGGGAAGTTTGAGGGTGGCAACAAGGGAGAGGTGTAGACTAGCTGTGTCTTGGTCCACATACTGTTTCAGAAAGTGTGGATTCGAAAGATTTGGCTTTAAATGCATACTGAATCAAATCTCTCCCCTCTCCCTAGGCTCTTCAAGGCGAACAAACAATATTGGTGGGCAAATTTCCTTGAAAGTCAGCTTGCATCAACACTTCCAATGTTTCCCAGCTGTGGTGAAGTGTTGGCTATGTTCAGGGGTGCAGAGTTCATAACAATGACACCCAATAGAACCAGCTGGTGTGTGGGCAGTTTCTGCACCCAGCACTACTCTCACATTCCCAGAATCCTTTGTGTTCAGTAGTGTTCCACTCCTCCCCCCCACACCGCCTTGTTTCATCAGGGATTCCTCAGCAGCTGAGCTGATGTGGAATGAATCCCCCTACGACAGAAAACCACTGCTTTAATGGGTTGTAATCTACAAGTTTGTTCTCCTTGTTAAAGCTTCCTGAATCAGGCAATAAATTACTAGGTAATCAAAAAGTGACCCACGGGAAGCTGTTAACGTTATCTTAGGAACGCGAGCCAAGCCGTCTCTACCTGAAGCCGCATGTGGAAATGAAAATCACAGACTCTGCAAAATAGCACAGGTTTTACCAGATGATAGATTTACAATGGCATATCTTGAATGCGCTTTCCCCTCCACCCTTCCCTTCCTCTCCCAAGATTTTGAGCCACTGGATACTTTATCTGATTGTAACCCATCCAGAAAAGTAAAGGCAGTTTCTAAAGCATATGTTTATGCCAGATGATATAATATGTCTACTGTTGGCTTTCGTTTGGCTTTGGCCAAGTGGCTAATGAAATTTCTCCTGCTTGGTCAGGGTGGATTTGATTTAAATCAAATCAATTTAAATCACGATTTAAATCAATAAGACTTGATTTAAATTTTTTAAAAATTTTTTTACAGAAGGACTCATTCTTGCTGGTATAATCTTAATATTTACAACCAGATGAAGGTTTCATTTTTGGAATAATTAATTTTCAGAGTAGTTTTTACAGTCATATCAAAAATTACTGATTTGGTTATACTATTAGAAATACATAGACAGATAGATGAAGATACTGCGGGTGAATGTATATTTTATCTCAGTAAAGCACTTCAAAATTCCATTTTAATGGTAAGTGGTATACAAATGATATAGAATAAAATACATGGAGAAATGGAGGGGGGCTATTAGGAAGGTGATCTGTGGTTTAGAGAGGGCTTGCAGGAGATATTTTCTGAACCTTGAATTGGCTATTTCTCATTTTGTTAGTTACGGAAGAATCTGTTCATTTCAGCTTTTCTCAGTTTCTCATTTTTCCAGTCTTCAGATCTCCACATTTCCATATCATATATCATCATCATCATCATCATTGTCATCATCATCACCACCATCATCATCATTATTAGTAAAAAGTCTTCATGAAAATTCATAAGTATCTTACTGCAAATTTCTCTTAAGAAACCTATGCATTTTTCTTAATATATTCATTTTTGCAAAGTGATTTCCCCATGAATAAAATGTATTTTTGCATGCTATTTTCATTGATTTTTATGCACATGTTAAACTAAGTGTATGCAATTTTTCACATGTTACTTTGCTGGAGAGCTATGTTGGCACATTTGGAGAAGTGTGAATTTTGAAAGATCGCTGTGTTCCAATTCTCAAGTTGTTTTGGAATGTGCAAATCAGGTAGGTTCACCTTTAAGTGCAAACTGAACCAAACTTATCTTCCATCCCTATTTCTGGTTCAGTCCGAGGGAAGCAAGCTTGATGAGCAACCTTGCCCATCTCTAGTTCTAAGATCCAGGTCCACTGCCATAATGTTGAGCTTGGCCCAATAGACCTGTGTGTGAACAAGAGCTTGTTGTAAGCACACCATTTAAGTTAGCCTGACTGAAAATAGTCCTTACCCATGAAATACATTTTAAAACATTCACTCCAAAATATCCCATTTCCTTCTCTTCCAGAAAGTAGCTCTAGAGGTCAAGAGCTGGTCGGTTTACACAGGGCACAAAATCATTTGCTTCCAAAATATAAACATCTTCTGAACTTCAGAATTTGGCACATAGGACAAAATATTGAGTTGAGATCCATTTCCTGAGCAAGGCTGACAGGTGTGAGCAGTGGTGGTGGTGGGTAACACCTGCTTTTTAAAAATAATATATACCATTAAGTAATTTCAGAAAGTTCAGAAAAATGATGCTGTACTTTCTAAAGGCTGTCTGGCAGACAGGGAAGGGAGTTTGTGGGCTCCATTGTCATTACAAAAGCAGAGCGGCCAAGATTGAACTGCTCACCTTGTTGGGGCAGATCACATGACTAGGACATGAAATGGATGTGGGTATCATTTCACCATTATGAGATATTATCAAGGAAATTATGCAGCATATAGTTTCCTCTCCATAGGCTCTTTCAATGAGTTCTGAATGAATAGATTGTGAGGACAGCTGATTTTAATCGGGGAGAATCCACTTTAAAGAGGCTCAGGAGAATAAATGCTACCAGAGAAGCCAGCAGATAACAAAAACAGCATTTGACTTGCCTGAACAAATGGGAAGATGGTAAGGCAGAACCCAGCAACAATAAAGAAGGGGAAATGGATCCTTTTCGCAGAGATAATGAACGGAGAGCATGGAATGAGGCTGATCCCATCTTAGAATGCTTTTTATCAGCCAAATGCATGACACTTCTGTGAACTGAAACTCCTAAGTTCAAATTCAGTGAGAATTCTGGGATAGTAGAAAGGCGAGATGGGCTATAGCTCAGTGGCAGAGCATCTGCTATGTAAGCTTAATCACGGATATCTTCAGGTAGGGCTGGGAGAGATTCCCTGTCTGAAACCCCCTGAACCACTGCCAGTCAGTGTAGACAATTCTGAACTAGATGGACCAATGGTCTGACTCAGTACAAAGCAACTTCCTATGCTATTATGAGCAATCTCATTTGCACAAGGAAGAAGAAGAAGAAGAAGAGGAAGAAGAAGACAAAGACGAAGAAGAAGAAGAAGAAGAGGAGGAGGAGGAGTTTGGATTTGATATCCCGCTTTATCACTACCCTAGGGATTCTCAAAGCGGCTAACATTCTCGTTTCCCTTCCTCCCCCACAACAAACACTCTGTGAGGTGAGTGGGGCTGATAGACTTCAAAGAAGTGTGACAGGCCCAAGGTCACCCAGCAGCTGCATGTGGAGGAGCGGAGATGCGAACCTGGTTCCCCAGATTATGAGTCTATCGCTCTTAACCAGTACACCACACTGGCTCTCTGGATATCCTCAAATGGATTTGCATATCCTCAAATGGTTAAAGAAACAACAACAGAAACACTCTGGGTGGATTCCAACAAAATATTAAAATACAATAGTCTATTAAACATTAAAAGCTTCTCTAAACAGGGCTGCCTTCAGATGTCTCCTAAAAGTCTGGTAGTTGTTTATCTTTTTGACATCTGGTGGGAGGGCGTTCCACAGGGCGGGTGCCACTACCAAGACGGCCCTCTGCCTGGTTCCCTGTAACTTGGCTTCTCGCAGCGAGGGAACCGCCAGAAGGCCCTCAGCGCTGGACCTCAGTGTCCAGGCAGAACGATGGGGATGGGGATGCTCCTTCAAGTATACTGGACCGAGGCCTTTTAGGGCTTTAAAAGTCAGCACCAACACTTTGAATTGTACTCGGAAATGTACTGGGAGCCAATGTCATCATCAACAACAGGAAATTAGCTTCAGGATTCAGAAGGAAAAAGAATCAGCCACATGAGCAAATTCCTTCAACAAAGCAGGATTTTATTTTTAATTTAATTTTAAAGCCTACTCTTCATTTCCCTAGAATAACTATGTTAAGATGTAGACCAGTGTCAGGTTGAGCCAAGGGGCAAGTGAGGAGTCAGGACAAGTAGGAGTCAGGGAAGAGTAGACAACCATTGCCCAGGCAGAGTCTCAGCCTGACAAGGAAATCTTTACTGCGTTCTCTGTTGGAGAGGGCCAATGGGAAGATCACTTCACTGTTCAGAGCAAGATCTCAACCTGTAGGCCTTATCCTACAATCTATGTGATGCAGCAGCCCTGCACCACGTTCTAATTTTGGGATT